ATTCCTGCTACAATTAGTACAGCCTCTTTAATTAATTTTCCTTTTTTATTGCTTTGCCGAAATTACCTCCACTGTGGCGCCGGCCGGTGCGCGCACGGCATGTAATGCTGCTATTTATGGCTTTGCCCATCGATGCCGCCGCGCCGGAGGCTGGGATGGCTGGGGCCACATCCTGCACGTGGCGCGACAGCGGCCACCCTGCCGAGCAAGGACGAGCCCCAAGGAACGGGGCACAGAGGTGCCCAAACCCCTACGTGACAGAAGCCATCACGGGGAGATGTGGCCTCCAAGACACCTCGATACCAAGCGCTGGTCCCCACCAGTCTCCACCAGCCCCAACCTGCGGCTCCAAGCTGCACAGAAATCCATCTTTCTCCCTTGAACAAGCTTTTGCCTTTTAAAAATAATCATTACCAATAAACAAATACACCAGCCAGGGTATATAAGCATCAAATTAAGTAGCTACATGCATTTGTTATATTTGATATAGCCTTGTTAACTGGAAAATCCTAGGTTTGGAATATGTATTGATTTCAGGAAACATATATTATTTTACTGTAAGTACCAAGAGCCATTCTAGTTAATATACAACAGTTTAATTTAAAATGCATTAGTTTAATAAAAATGCATAAAATAGAAGGGAATTGCATTAGCTTCAATAAAAAATTCAATTTCATAAATATTATCCTGTGTTAAAATGCATTGATTTCCCAGGAAAATGTATTGGTCAAAGAAAATTTACATGAGTTTGAATGGGAATGTATCAGCGCATATACATATGTATTAGTTTAGTCAAATGGATCTGATAGCGGAAAAAATATCCATTGGAGCAAAATGTATTCATAAGGAAAGCGCAAGGGCTGGGAAGTGGCGTAGCAGGGGCTGGTGTCACCCCGTCCCGAGTGGTGCCGTGTCCTGCCGGGCTGCAGCAATGCCAGGAATCCCATGGGAGCCCCCCGGGAAGTGGCAGTGCCGGGATGCATCGCACGAAAGGCGGACGTTATCGGCCGCGGCCAGGCCGAGCCCGGCTGGCTCCGCGCCGGCACGCGCCTTGGGCAGAGCGGGGGTTAATCAAATCCTTTTGACTCTTTTTTTTTTTTTTAAATGGAGCTCAAGAGGGGCTGTCCTATTAATTAGAGAGGCTTTTTCATGTAAAACAGCAGTTCTGGAGCAGATAAGAGGGGACGATGCTTGATTTTGCCGTTGCACAGACACATACGTTATTCCCTGACATCCATTCACGTGCCGCCGCCGCTTCCCGAGAGCTCTTTTGTCCACTACGGAGCTCTGCATAAACACGACACATGCACAGAGATGGACAGATATATTTTAAGCACTTGTTTTTTCCTGGATGCCGACAAGTCCCTGAATATCAGCAGCAGGGAAGGACAGGGCCTGCCAGGAAGGCGCCTCCAGCCCCGGCTTGCAGCCTGGTCCTCGGAGCGGGCTCCGGATGCGGCCCCTGCAGCAGCACGAGGATTATGTGAGCAGATGCACCACGCTCCGCGTGCCGGCGGATCCGCACGGAGCCATCTGCACCCTGTGTGCAGCCAGGCGCCCTGTGGCACTTGCAGTGGGAGCCCCACGTGCCCCAGCCCGGCAGGACCCGCTGCCGGGTGCTGCGCGGGTGGAAACGGTGCTTCCGCCCCGGGGGATATTTGGGGGAATTCTCCCGGCTCCCGGCAGCGCCCGGGCAGTGCCAGCGGCTCCAATCCCGTTAAACTGCTCCGCATCGCTGCCCTGATGCTTATGGATTTTTCCCTAATGCCACAAATTAAGGTAATTGGGCTCGGCCGGGCGATGAATTCAGCTGCGCTTGGCGCAGAGGTCGCGGCTGCGTCACCAGGCCCCTGGCTCGGCACCCGCCCGCGTCCCCGCGGGCAGCGAGGGGACCCGGGGCCACCCGGCTTCCCCCGGCGCCGGCCCAGGCGCGCGGCCCGCGGGAGCCGCGGGGCCGGGGAGCACAGACCA